AAATTCCCCACGCTCCATCTAACCAGAGATTGGGATTATCGCTGTGACAGATTTTACTCCATCCGGCTGACATGATAAGARGCCTGTGGTTTGGGTGCAGGCGTCCAGCAGCTGCTCACCCGGTGGTTCTGGTAGGCTGTGACCGCCGTGAAGCGGGTCTCCTCGAACACAAACGTCTTGTAGTTCTCCTCCGCGTATTTCTCGCTGTCCTTCCGCGGGTCCACATAAACCACATGGAACCTGGGCTGGTAGCGGTGCATGGAGTTCAGAATGATCTGGAATAAATAAATAAATAAACAATAAATAAATAAGTAAATAAATAATATGAACGTAAAAAGTGATTATTAATGTCACAAGTGCTATTATTTTTATCRTGCAGTTTAATTACGCGCGATGCGTAATGGCGCATTCATAAGCTGCTGTTTGCTAAATAAATTATTAAGTAACTATATACGTGCAGTGGCTCTCTGAATACCATTAACAGACTTTAAACTCCAACCAGCTGGTTATGCACAAACCAGGATATAACATCACCACAAACGAACAAACTCTTCATATTTTTTTATTTGTGACTTTATTTATATGTTAAAAATATGTAAAAATATGATACTATCGTATTCTATTTATTTTCTGAAAATCATCTCAAGATGAATTGTTTAAAGTTTCCCGGTCAACAACGGGATCCCGACCCCCACTAATTTATGTTAAAATGCGTTCACCCGTTCTGTTTTAAACTCTGCTTCCTAAACTGCGCAAACGAGCAAGTGTGGACCAACAAACACACATAAAAACACACACAGAGATAACCCGACACTGACAAGTGACAAATGTTGGATTCCTGAATATTAAAGGAAGAAGTATTACTGCGGTGCCACATGTGAACGCATCTGATCTGACACCAGTTCCCCTAATTACTGAATTTACAAACTATTGCTGGACAGAAAACAGCGGAGAGAAAAGAAAAAGCTTTCAGTCATGATTTTTTTAAATTTCTGTTCTTATTTTATTAAAAACGCGCCATTACGCACGGTGCGTAATGGCGCGTTTTTAATAAAATTGCTCAACTTTCTAAGAACAACAACGGTAATTTTTTGCTGTTTTTGTAAGCAWGTTGATACAATTTGCCACGTGTTGCTCTCCAGTCATACATATCTACAAGCTGCTGCATCAGTTTGCATGCTGACCCTCACTGAACGCGCTGCAGGACAAACAGCTCTCATTTTGTTCCTCCTGTTTTCACGCGTGTCCGGTTCGGTTCAGGTGGACTCACGTGGCCGTTGTCATCCAGCAGGTTGTTCGTTAACTTGAGTTTATCGAAAGAGACGATCTGCTTCATCCACTGCGCGCCTTTGGCCGGAGAGTCCGGGTGGTAATGAACCCTGCCCGGAGTGGCTGGGTCAGCTTTTCCCGCCACGAGCCACGAGGAGCTGTGGAACGCATACCTGCAGGAAAAGGAGGAGGAAACAAAAATAGCCTTGAAAAAAAAAATACAGAACAATTTAAAATATTAAGAACTCTTCCTGGGAGTGAAGAAAACTCATCCATATATGTTGAAAACAAAATTAATAATTTTAGACACTTAAACAATTATATTTATAAATATTTTAGTAAAATTTCGCACTAAAAMCAATGAAATAAACACAACGTGTTTTAGAATCCCGTCCTAAATGCAATGGAAGCAACATTTAGTTTTTTTTCTAAAAACTTTTACCTGTAACGTTTGTCATCAACAGGCAGGAAGTCCATCAGCAGCATATAGTCCGCCATGGGATCCATCCCAAAGATTTTCACTTGGAAAGTTGGAAACATTCTCCTGACAGGGAGAAGAAAAAACACAGGAAGACGGTCAGAGCTGGAGAGCTGCTTTCAGATCAGTTTTTATGTTCCCCATTTTTTTCTCTTTATACTGCTCCATCCATGTGTTTAGTTCGTGTCAGCCGGTGTCGTCCCCCCACCAGAAAGTCTATAAAAAAGAAGCAAAATACTACTACTACTACTACTACTACTACTACTACTACTACTACTACTACTA